GTGTTTTCCTCCAACTCCAAGTCTCAGATGCTTGTATTATTGCAGGGAAGAAAACGGAAAGAACAAATTGGAGCAGATAGGCAAAGCTCCAGCTTTTCCTCGCACCATTTGTGATCGACATTTTTTCAAAAACCAGAGACCAGTTTATGCAAATAAAGAAGACAAAAAGAAAGCAGGAGATGCGTGGTTCAGATAGCAGAGCTCAGTCATAATGGGCTGGTAATATGATGTATGAGCCAATTTAAATAACATAAACCTTCGCTTCATGTGGAAACTTGACACACATGCATGCTTACACACACATGAACATATATATAATATCCATGCACACACACACACACAGTGGTACAGAACATATGGCATTAACAAACAAACATTACCCTTTGCTACTCCATGTGCCTGGCTCCCTGGAGCCACTGGAGCCATAGCTACAACAACTGGGCTACCTCAGTCTATTTGGCCAGTCCACCTTAATCTACATCAGTTGAGCTACAGGAGCCACGGGATGTTGGTGCACAATTTAAAACAGCGAGAGAGAAGTACAGAAATCTCCCTCCTGCTCACCTCCTGTACCTTCAGCACATCCCCTTCCTCCATTTCTCTGTTTAACATGAAACTTCTTCATCTGTCTCACTGCAAAATAAAAAGAGAACTTCACATTTAAAGCTGCATTATTTCATTTTTTAGCACATGGGGGCAGAAGCTAAAAATACATCCTTGCCATATTGTCACCTTATCAAAATGGCGTTTGCACATTCAGCAAACATGATGCAGTTTTGTTTATGGCCACCTAAAGTGTAATATTGACTCATTTAAGCTCTGCTTTAGTCTGTTTTGGCTCTGTAGCTGCTAAATGCTCCATTATTCACCAGCTAGTCGCTAACTTTGTCTGTCTGCCATCTGGTGCTGGGCAGGTAACGTACAGTGAGTTTATCAAAGCTTTCATCCTCCTGCCACCGATTTACTCACTGTTGGCCTCCATCCCTCCTTCATCACTGGCACCAGGCTGGCTGAACACACTGGCACTGAAGCATTTGCTGTTGTCAACACTCTAGTATATTGTTTTTTCTCTGGGGAGGGAGGAGCGGTCCTCGGACAAACAGGAAGTATGGTATTTCCAGAAGGGGAACTGGGTCATGAACACGGTTCCACCTACAATGTTTCACCAAAAAGGAATCAACAAAATAAAAACCTAGAGCAAAGAGCGCCTAGCAACAGAAATGTAGACTAAATACAAAAACAAAGAACCCCAGGACTGCACATACGCATGCAAAGCTACACATTCATTGAGGTAGAAACACTTATGCAATCAAATATGAATGTGTTCCTAAATGAATGTCACCATGCAGGTGGTTGAACATGATAACAAACAGCATAATTAGGAACAGGTACTTTTTATAAGGAACTTTCTATTTCACATATCAGACAAATGAACACAGAGGTTTCAGCGATCAGGAATATCATCTAAACCACAATCATTTGCCAGATGAAGTAGCGTCTGGCTGACTTAATGACAGAAACGTGAGGTCGCCACGCCGACAGGAGGGAAATGTAATGTTAAAGAAAATAAATAAATAACTGGTCCACAGCCACGTACAATATCACTGCCTCTGGAGTTTGAGCCAAGACTAAATGTTCTCTGTGTTTCTCCAAATTAAAACGGCTATTTGAACGAGATGAAAGATTGAATTCAGATACTGGATAAACAAATTCAACACTGCAAAAACGGAAAGCTAAAACCCGCTAAGAAAAAAAAATTCTAAATAAATGCAAAGAACGTAGAGGAGATGAGAAGTTATTCACAATCATCTTCAGCCTCCTCTTCTTCTGGGTTTCTTGTGCAATAAGGTTTCGCCCTCTAAGACCGGTTACTATTGGGTTTATCCCTAACGCATGCACAGTGGTGAAGACTGCACCTTGTTGCCCAGCACTGTTCTCCACGTTCTGCCATGACGGTGTTCGTCTCTTCCTTTTCCTTTCACTTTGACCTCCACGCCCACTGCGAGTCATGCGTCGGCCCGGAGCATGCCAACCTGGCCCTCACTCCCTGAGCCACATGCCTTGTGAGAGCGAGCTTCACTGTTCAGGACGCATGTTAATCCCAGGTCTGAACAGGGCCTCAGAAACAGAATAATCTTATATCGAGACTATGGTTGTGTCTGAAATCAGTCACTCATTGACTCCTCCCTGCTCACTACCCACAGTTTTCTCCGCACAGTTAGTGTATATAGCTTGGTTAGTGACCATCGGTTGTACACTACTTTTCATGAAGCATTATGGGATACTATGAGTCCACTATATAGGGTATAATAACTCTCACTACACATTCGGACAGCACTACAAAATGGTAAAGTCACTATATAGTGGACTATAGAGGGAGTAGGGAGTGATTTCAGACACAGCCTATGACTTTAAAGGGTCTGTTCACTCAAATCACAAAAAATATGCATTAGTTTCCGACTTACTCTTAGTAGTATTTACACATACAGATAGTTTCTTTTCTCTGTCCATAGTTCAGTGATGTACTTGTTTTTTGTTTGGTTGAAAATAGAGTAAATTTAATGTTTTTTGGCTTAGTGTTTTTTTGTTTTTTTCGCTTCCAACATGAAAATGATATATCGACATGCAAGCCAATTCTTCATTTATTGCGAGCTGAAGCAGGAAGTCCTCTAGTCTCCCCAACCTGACCAGCACATAAACTCCTAGTCTGATCAGCTCTATTGGAACTGAGGAGAATATCCTCTCGTCGTCATAATGGCTCTGTTGAGTATTAATCTAATGCTCCTGTCTGAAGTATGGCGATGGAGGCTTACACAAACCCGGCTGCTTTACTGCATACCTTCAGTTTTCTGTCTCGCTCTGTTTTCTCTCTGTCTCACTCACAACTTTCCTGTCATCCCTAATGGATGTCTGTCATTTTCTTTCATTTAGTGTGTCTCTCTCTTTTAAACCCTCTCATTTTCAGCTCACTTTACTGTCAAATGTACATTTTGATGTTTTTATGAAGGTGCGCTTGTGCGTGGTAATACGGTAAGTTCAACGGTTCACAAACTGTAGTTCCAAAGGAAAGGGCTGTTTGGCAGCAAGATAAAACAGAGAAAATATTCAAAATATAGCGTACACTTAAACTGATGTTAGCTTTCTTTTTTTGCTGACACTGTTAACAGCAGCTCATCACTCAGCTTCAATGCAGGTGTTCCTGGCTGCTTCTCCAAACTGGCAACACGCTGATCTGAATCTACTGCAGGTAATACACTGACTATAGATAAATACCTCACACAACCCATTGTCAAATAACACAAACTATCACTTTAAATGCTAAATATAGCTTTCAGTTACTTGGGAGCAGTTGCCTCTGTGTTCATAAGGATTAAAAAAATGACAGGATGTCAAAACTGAGTGTACTTGAGACTGTGGTTTACAGTATTGGGGCAACATGCTGAAATGTTTTCAGACCAGTGTATAAATATAGCTACGTTCAAGAATGACTCACAACATACACAATTAAAGTTTTGGAACGTTCACTAACCACTCACACAAACACACTACACTACACTACACTCACTACAACACAAAGGTTTGTACAGAAAGGTGAGAACAATGAGTGATATCTAGAGCACTGGCTTTTCTGGTTTGGGGAGTTAAAGCATACGGTGACCCTCCCTCAGCGTGGCTCTTTTATAAATGTTCTCACAATGATATCTAATAATCAAAATAAGAGGAACTATCATTTGCATGACCAGGATCAAGTGTTCGTGTGGCCTAGCTTATGTAACTGTAGAGGAAGACACAGAAGACAAGCTTAATCCATAATCAGAACCAAAGTAGCACAGAGACCAAACGCCCATCGTCCAAATGTAGATATGTAACTTTTAGTACATTAAACCCCACAGAAGAGGAGGACTATCTATACCCAACAAACTTTTAACTTTTAAGGGTCTAACTAAAGACTGGAAAATAAAAGATTTCCTGAAGTAACAAAGTTCTAGTGTAGACTGAAACCTTAACTGTAATTATGTGCTGTTCCTCATTTTACATTTTCATTTTACTTTCATTTCATTTTCAATTTAGTTTTCCTAGCTGTTGACCACTCCTTTTTTGACTCATTTCATTCAGTAATTTTAAAATCGGTTTCATTTTAGTTTAAATACAAATCAACATATCATTAGTCCTGGTTCTTATAAGCAAATTGAGCTATCATGCTTGTTTATAACCCTTCCTTGTGTGGTATTACAATGATCCAAACGACATATGAACATCGAAGTTTGGTCCCATTCCACTTCATACCAGAAGAGACAGTAGACCTCAATGAACAGTTGCCTCTGTTACTTACGGGCCTTTATGCTGTAGTATATTTCACATTTTAGTAGCTGAACCCTCTTGAAGTCAGAAAACTTTGTGACGTGATTTAGTAAAACTAGTAAAGTAACTTTGACTACATTTTTGTTGTTTTGCTTCATCATTGTTCATCTGTTTCATTCATTAGCTGTGAGGCTGAGTATCAGTTTCACCAAAAACATCTCTCACGTGTCACTGAATAGTTGGATAACTGTTCTGTAATGATTTATGATATATGACACCTACAAAATTCTCATAAAATGCATTTCATAACATTTCTTTACAGGCAAACCTAAATTGTACATGTGTATAATCCATCATGAATCTTGAATGCAACTATTCACATTATAATTCATCGAGGTTATTGTATACATCTATATTTTAGCCTGGGACTGAGAAGGTTAAAGTGGGTATTTCAGAAGGCATCCTTTACTTCATAAATCACTGACTTACCTTACAATGACAGTTGTGTTAGAGAAACACACTGTTGTCTGGTATGTAGTGTGACTACATACCAGACTACATACCAGAAGGTTGTGGCATATTAATATTGGAAGGTGTGCCAACAATTAGGTGTGACCCAAGTTTACTATATGTGGAAAGAGATGTTGACTACTTATAGCCATGCAAATGTAAGTGAAAGTATTTTGTGAAAAAGCACAGAGAACTGAACGGATGAACCATCATGTAAGTAATTCTAATTTTAATTTACATTATCTATATATCCTGACCTCAAATATTTGTTAACTTTGCCTTGGAGTGCATTTAATGTTACCTGTTAATGCATACATGCTGATATTTATTGTTTTTTCCTGTTTTTATCCTGTCCAGGCTAAATGGAGTAACCACGTCTTTTAAAAGACTAGTGTGTTCATAGATGCAAAGTTCTTACTGTTGTCATTTTTTTTTTCAAGCTACTGTGATTACATTTCCATTTCCAATTTAAATCCAGGTGAAAGTTGGTGCCATCTTAGTGTCATTTTTGGTAACACCAAAAAGTTTTTGTTTTGCGTTTGTCAGATGGTGAATCAATGAATACAAAGACTGAAAAATATGAACCTTAATGACAGTATGCTTTGGCAAAGGGCAAAGTAGTTTTTACCCTATTACTTTGTGACATTTGATTTATTTTTTAAATTTTTTTAAAGGTAGTTGCCAACTGGTTCTAAAAACCTGTTGAGCATGTTCTTGTTTTACCACAAAGATCATGACAGCAGTTTGAATCTGTTGAAAATGTTCAGGAGTGACTAAGTTGTTAAACCATTATCTAAGAATCACAGAAAGTTGTTGAGAGATTGGCTTTAAAAACACATAAATATGTAGGTTACCAGGTGAACAGCAATCAGAGCAGGTTAGACAATTAGGTATTTTAGCGTGAAGAATATAATTTGTTTGACCTTCAGACAGTGTGCGTGGCAATAATTACTGTATCTCCTCAGGTCATTTAAAGTGGATTTTTGCATGAAGGACGAGTGACTGATTTGCATTCTAACCTTGTCCTCCTGTGGAAAGAAATAGCTTCACGAAAACAATATAATTGCAAACACAACAAGGTAATATTGACTGCATAATGTTTCAATTACTTGGCTTTTGGTACACCATTTTTAATGTATGTTAGCTTGTACAAAAAATATTGATATAATGTCTACCGTCTGTTCTGTACTTTCAGTGTTTCAAGTTTACAGAAGAAGGAACATCTCAAGCTGTGGTGAAAATATCTAATGCAAGATAACTTCTTTGTGTAAGTCTGGGCTTATGAAAGCAATTAACACACCCACATACGCTAACGAGCAAAAACATTATCGACATCTGCACAATATGCTACTGGTTAATGTGCTGCCAAAACAGCACCAAAATGAAGAGGCCCTGTGGTCGACATTACCAGCAGATTCTTAAAGTCGTGTGGATCTGACTTGTTGTTCCAGCACATCTCACAGATGCTAGATCAGTATGAGATCTTTGGGATTTGAAGGGCAGGACAACACCTTGAACTCTTGACCCTGATCTCTGAACCACTCCCAAACACTGTGCAGTACACAGGCTGCAAAGTGCCTGACTGGAATTAATTAGTTGATTTCGATGCTGTCCTCATCTGTGAACTGATAGTCCTGGCAGCCTAAAGATGTTCTTTAATTTAATAGTTTTATCACATATTATTATCCCCATATAAAATGTTTTATCTCTCCCCTTAAAATGTAACTTAACACATTTACTCAGAGATTTTTTTTTTCTGACTTTCTTTGTACTTTTATCTGACCACAGTTTTACAAATGATTTTACTTCTACTGTCACAAAATGTTTTCAGTTACAGTGGTTAGTGACCGTTGACGTACTGACGTGCTGACGTCAGTGTAGCGTCTCATCGCCAGTCTCTGCAGTTTCTCTTACTAGTTAACTTTATTGCTGCTCTGTCTGAACACATTTAATGGTGCTGTTTTCTTCATCACAGTGACTTTCTACCTGCTGTACATTTAAACTTACACTAGTTCTGCTCCAGCACCCAGAGCTCTCTGCTCCATTTAGCGACTTTCACTAATTCAGCAGTAATTTACATGCTATTCAGATTTGCTACTTTAGCTTAGCAGTTAGCGCCAGCTTTCCTCTCTCTCTCTCTTGCTCGGTGTGTCTCGAACCAACAGATGAATTTGTTCATCAGAGTGTGATGTTGTTGTAAATTGTAAGTGTAGAGGACTGTGATGTTTATCTACTGTCTTACCTTCAACACAGACCCCCGCTCCTTAACCGGAGCCGCTCTAGTCTGTTACGTTTTGTGTACACAGCAGCCTTCAGCGTGATAGGCTATCGCTCGTGACGTCAACCAATCAGATGGTGCTGTGGGCGGGACATTGCGCCAGGTCACAGAGTGGAGACTACAGATCAGAGACAGGCAGCTGCACCAGAGCTAAAGGAGTGCATTTTAAAATGAATTAATTATTTTTTTTTATCGATTATCGGTTGAAAAAACAACGATACCATACCCATGCCTAGAGCCGGGCCCGCATCGGATTGCTCTAATATGACTTCACTCCAAACATAGTGCCAACGAGTTCACTCAAATATTGGTAGGGACAATCTGTCCTCCCAAAATATTGGTAGGGACATGTCCCTACCGTCCATATGCAAACCTACTCAGGTCCTTATACAACAATCCATTTCTCCTACATCCAACACAGTCACTACCCATCTAATACATCACTTATCTTGATATGTACTGTTGTTACAAGAAAATCAAGGTACACCTCATCTATGAGTTGTCATAATGTTTTTGCTAATTGTTGTCACTATCAGTTATGTCAGTTCTGCTGCTGTCAGTGCTTTACGTTGCTGTTGAATTGTGTTGTATTATATTAAAAGCAACAGTTGTACCTCGGTGAAAGTCTAACTAATAAACCCTTTTCTTTTTTTTCTTTTTTTTTTTTTTACAACTTTCAGGCAGGAACTGTAAAGCTCTGGAAGACAAGCAACACAAAACAGGAACTGGGCTGAAACATCAGCTTCTTTCAACAGAGGGTCACTGAGTATATCTTTGTAAGAGACTTTGCATTTGAGCCTGTTAACTAAGATTTAATTGATTGAAATCCTTCTGGAAAATGAACGGGGATCTACCACCTCACTTGTCTGATCTACTAAACAGACTATGTGACACTGGCAGACAATTTATTGCACTGTATGAAGACAAAAACGAAAGAATGCGTGCCATTGCAAGCAACCTCGGGGAGATATCTGAAGAAGTAACAAAGATGCAGAATGACACAAATGCAACCAGATCCTACGGAGCTGTTTTTGGAGAATTTGGAATCATTGGTTTAACTGCATCTTTATTTGCAGGAAACATAGGAAGAACACTGGCACTACTTGGTGGAACTCTATTTAGTGGAGGTACAGCTACTGTTATTGAAGCTAATGTGAGCAAGGAAAGGGTAGAGAAAGTAACTATAGTAAAAGTGGAGGAGATGGTGAAAGAATTCATGACAATCACTGAGCTGCAGAAGGAGGTCCTGGAGGGAGTTAAGCAGGTGTCTGAGGAGCTGGAGGAAAGATCTTCTGCATTAATGACAAAAACAAAAGCACAGGCAGCAATAAGTCTGTCAACAACAGAACAACTTCAATGTCTTCTTAGACAAACAGCTGACCTGGCAGAACAGAGCAGGGAAGTTATGGGTGTGACTGTAATCATGGAAAAGACAGTGGGAGAACTGTTAGACTTACTTATCAATATCACACGAATCACTCCAAAGAAACATGAAAAGTTCATAGACTGCATCACAGATTCTGCCTTGCACTGTCAAAACACTGTTAATGAGTTTGAAAAGATGAGGAAGATGTTCAATGACTTTGACAAAATGTTAACAGGATAAACATGTGCAACATTCAGTCACAAAATAAAGTACTATGTATATTAGCAGTGGAGTGACACGTGCGTAAGAGGGGTGTCTCACACCTGCATTGTGTGTTCTAGAGATTTCGGTGCCTATTTTTAATTTGTGATGCAAAAATAGACAAAAAAAAAAGACCTGCTGACAGTCATAATGACATCATACCAGCAACATTACATATGACCGACAACTTTCAGTAGCAACACAGACGTGTGCAAGCTTGTACTACATCAGCGACGCAGCCGCCACACACGCAATGCAGGCAGTTACAAGTTCATTTATTAATCATTTTTATAGTCAAGAATAATCCCAACATATTTTTAAATGTAGTGTTCATAATCGATTTTATTAATAAAGGGAAGAAAGAAAATCTTGCTCCTTTTCCTCTCACCAGCTGGAGGGGAGTGGCAGTGTGTTTGATTGACAGCAGCTGCCAGAGAGCTGGTTCACCAAAGAGACAGGGACAAACTAAACAATCTCTCTCTGTTGTCTACATGTCATTTCATGCATTTACTCATTAGAGGTATTATTTTCATTCTATTTTTTTTATTCTATTACACCTTTTTCAAAAGATAATGGGTGTAGGAAAGTCAATTTTAACTTATTTTTGGAGCAGGGAGCATTTGTTACATCTTTCACTTATGTTTGAGTTTTTGTTTGCTTTTAATTATCAAGAATAAAAATATTTACCTTTATAGGATGTAGACTGTTAATAATAATAAATATAATTCAAGTGATTTTTCTTTTGTTTGTCTTTTTAAAACCTACGGTATAATTTCATACTTTTTAAGTTTTTGTTTGCTGTAATGGACCTGTGTAGTCAGCTGATTATTCGTAACACATCAGAAAGATCAGGCCGTATCTGACTGAATATGCTTCTCAACTTCTCTCACCCTGACAACTGTAATACCTCTCTGGCAGCGCTGCCAGGATGCACAGTATGACCTCTGTAAATCCAAAAGATATAGCTCATGTCACTCCATTATTTTAATTACTGCCAACTGGCTCCCTGCTGCTGCTTACATTAACTTGAAGTCACCATTTCTCACTGACAGAGTGGCCACTACCACAGCACCCAGGTACCTGAATTCCCTTATCATTCACTATGATCTGCAAATGAATGACAACTTATCCTAATTCTGCCCCACTAGCCTGGCTGTGATCTACTTTTGAGAGTTTAATCTGGAACATTTTTTTGACTGGGAGCAGTTACTTCCTGTTCATGAAGCTAAGCTAACTGTTTGCTAGCTCTAGCTGCATAATTAGCACACAGACATGACAGTGATATCTATCTTCTCATTTAAATCTCATCAAAAAACACACAATAAAAAACAAAAAAAACAAAACAAATAAGATTAGTTCCTTTGAAGCATAAAGTATATAATATGGCAGTTAACAGTGTTTTATTGTAATCCCAGCACATTACCAATCATCAATTAATGACTACAGTAGTTATAGTGTTGCCCCAGGAACAACACACAGAGAGAGGAAGACCTTCTTGGTTGAAACAGGCATTTCAGACACTTAAAGGACAGCTGACCCTGCTTGTTTGTGGTCAAAGGCAATAGAGATACATTTTTAAACAAAATCACATTACACTGTGGCTGACTCCGACACCCTTGTCATATGTTTCCACTTTTTGCCGTGATTTTATTCCTCTTCATTATTCATTCAAACAGAGCTGCAGCAGTGGGCAGCACTTGTAGCAAATGCCTTCCATGTGTCTCTAATTGCCTCGGTAGAAGTATTTAACACAAGGTGAAGTCATTAACACATGGACACACTCGTCAGATGTGGAGCCAGGCGGCCCTGGGCGAAAGCGTAGACAACAGCACACTAAAGCTCAAGCAACATCCACCGCACCCGAAGAAGAAATCTGAGGGGACTCCTGCTCAACGTGCCGTGCATCAAATTAATTGAGGGTCTACATTTACTCAAATTTAACATAGAAACTATAGAGAAGCCAGCCTGTAAACGTCTAACAGTGGGGACTTTTCATAGAGTTGGAGGACAAATATTCAATGATACAATAAATGCAAAGTAGCATGCCATTCAAGAGTCTGTATTCCTTTGAAATTATGCTACTTTAGAAGTAGCATGACTTTTAGGTCTTTGTTGGGTTAAAAACCTGAGCTTGAATGCCATGTATTTCTGAGTTTATCCAATGCAACTTTACTTAAGACTCCATGGCGTCTGAGAATATCAAATCCTTGAGATCCAGAAATCTAAAATGACAGCCACAGAAAACTGCAGTCATGAGGTTTCCCATCTAAGAGTGAAACCATGACACTGAAATATGATGTAGCATATGAAACTTTACACTGTAATCATACTTCTCATCATCAATTAAAGTGGGGATCCATGCCTAAGCCAATAGCCCCATCTGCTGTTCAGCTGAGAACACTGCATCCACCCAGACATGTAAAAACAGAGTGAGTGATGAGGAGTTAGAAAGAGGCAGAAAGGATATGGAGCGGAACAGGCCTTTTTCATAAAGAGACATTTTGACAGCAGGAAAAGCTGCTGGCTGAATTCCTGCTTTTAATGAAAATGTCTGCCATGAGCCTCTTTTTCATATTTAAAGTCATGGATAAACGACATGGGCGTGAACTTTGAACCACCCACGCTCCAGATTCACGCTCCACTCCAGTCATTATTTATATAGCGAGAATGTAATATTATTAAGTCACACAGTTCACGTGAATTTATACTGAGACAAAATTGGCTTAAACCGTGAAACCAGTGGTTGTAAATAGTTCCACTTCCAAACAGTTCATCCAGTTGAGGTTCGCTAATACCATGTAGCTTAGCACTGTTGCTGCTAAGTGGAGAAAAAAATGTGTCTAACTTGCTTGATAGTTAGTTGGACTAAGTTGTATGATGCTTCAAGTTAGCTAACTGTACCATGAAAACAGCAGTCAATCCAATTCAATTCAATTCAATTCAATCCAATTCAAAATACATCATCTATCCCTCAATAGGAAATTTAAGGCAAACAAAAGTAGACACTGAAAACTCATCCACACACACAAGAACTATCTAAAGTACAAATATTAGAAGGAGCTATTGAGGGTTGAGTTCTGAATTGAAATACTGTGCTCATTAATGTGAGACAGTCAGTAATACGACTACAAGGATGAGGAAATGAGGAGTAAATCAACCCTAAAGTTGGACAGTGTAAATGTCTGTGTGAATCAAAATACAATCAAACTACTATTTGGCATCCGATACGGTCACTGCTTCAATATGTGGAGCAGGGATTTTTGGTCCATAAGATATGACTGATCTGAAGAGTGAAACCGATGTACTACTTTTGTGAGTGCTGAATAAATAGCCATGAAACATAAGTATGATGTTTATGTTTCCCCAGGGGCTTAATTCTGAGGTGTCCAATACTTTGGTTTATGAGTAAATATCAACAAGATAGTGACAAACATGACACCAGTTAAACATCACCACAGAGCAGCTAGCGTTTGGTTATCCTTATTTTACAGTTGACTGACAGTCAGATAAACTTTAAAACAATAAACTTTACACTCTTATCTCTCTCAACATTTTTTCCACAGTAAAAGCTCCAATTTATGATTTCCAGCTCCGTTACAGAGGTTTACTGTAAGCGACACGCTGTGCTCAGCGCTTAGCTGCTGGGAGAAGCTTCTCCGAGCATCTACGTCAGAGGGCTTCCCTGTGAGTCTATCTGTGATCAGCACATGGTCAGTGTAAACATTTGAGGTCATCCCACACCATCCAGCTGTGTCGTACACCTTCACGTGCCAAGATGTCACACAGAAACACACAAACACTACACATGTGCAGAGGAACACATACGTAATCGCAGGGTGTCGTGGGCCTTTGTCTGAATCATGGAGCCTCAGTTGTCCGCTGGACCTCAAAAAGAGAGTTTTGCAGGACACCTAAAAAAAAAAAGAAAAAGGTTCATCACACAAAAAAACATGAGACACAACATACAGCACATTTGTCCTTGGAAAAAAAATCACCTTGTGTTTCATTAAATCCAATCATCATTTCCTGTTGTTTACTGTGTTTATAGCTATAATCTATCCTGTGGCTTATCTGACAGTGTGGCTACTAAGTGATACAAGAGATCAGAAAAAGGGGGCCCATTCACTATGAGGCCTTAAACGTGAGTAATGGCCCCTAAATGAGGGGATCATCATTCCTGCGTAATCGCCATGAATTTGATTAACAATAGCGGAGAGACCGGACCATTGATCAGCTTGATGATCTTGGGAAATTGATCCCTTTTGTGCGACCTGATTGATTGGAGATCATCCCGGATTCATCTTAACGGAGGAATAAACACGCCGTGCTGATTTCGGTGTTAACTCTGAGTCACTCTTCAAACAGTAACAGTGTGTGTGTGTGTGTGTGTGTGTGTGTGTGTGTGTGTGTGTATGTGCTGGGGGGAGGGGAGGGTGTTCACGGTGACCACGGCTGCGTTTTGTGGAAATGTGCGCATTAACAGCCGCTTTAGAAAACGCGCGTCATGTGCGTCACGGCTCGGCTGTTTTCGTTTGCTCTCTCACAACTGGCCTCATACTGATAACACACAACTGGGCCGAGAGACACGTGATGTGGAGCAGCGGCGACAAAACATCGTAATGGGATAACTTTGTTTGGTTGGCCGACTAATTGGCCCCCTGTTATAACACCACTGTAATGCAGGAGTGCCATAGAAATATAAAGATATATCCTTATCATTTAACGTTAATGTCATTTATCTAAACATATATTACTGCTCCAAATTAATATACGATATTTTATTAATGTATTTATTTCACTTTCCATTACCTTTTTATAATGATTCAACAATGCAGATATCCTCCATATCCAGTATGTGGTGACATTTTATTATTTTTCATTTTTATATATTACTTAAAAACATTATTTATAGTAGTTTGCATGGTAACTCTTGTCAGAAGGTTATCACTTTTTAAAATGATCTTGAGGCTGCAATAACAGCTAAGTAAACCTTCCTACAACTATGTCTGCTTTCTGATGAAAGTCTGTAGAACTGCACAAATTAGCCACATGGCCTCTAACCTACTGTAACATGGACATACACATGAGGGGGAATTAGTCATTTATTTATTTATATCTTTATAGGTGACTCTCGGGGTCATTTTCACCTTTCCTTTGTGTTTTTCTCTCCACCATCATCAATCACGGCCCAATCATCTCCCGGTGTTAGCTGAATACAGGGACAGCCTGTCATCAAAGGCAGTGGGGTCGCTCTTATCACCCACGGTCCCACAGGTGCAGAGCTCAGTCCACTCTCACTAAAATGACAGAAGGAGCTCTGCGCCTCTGGCTCGTCCTAGCTCTCCAGCTGAGATGCGTCACCCTGCTCGCCATCCCGCGGGACAGAGGCACGGCGGCGCGGCGGGAGGGTTCGGATGAGACGGTGACGGCCGGCGAGAAGCTGGACGCGCAGTTCCACCTGAGGGATTTACCCAGAGGTCCAGCGTTGGCTCCTCACAAGAAGGCGCCTCAGTTCATGTTGGATCTATTTAACGCGGTGTCAGTCTCGGATGGAATCCCAAAAAGCCAGAAGGAGATTCTGGAGGGAAACATAGTGCGAAGTTTTGAGGATAAAGGTGAGCAAAAGCCAAAAGTCAAACTGACCTTTACGCATGAGATACAACTGTTTTGTGAGAAGGTATTTTGGAAAATATATTTAATTTACTTGTCTGAAGTCAAACAGTTTCCCTTAAAGCAGCAGTAAATTCTGGAAATATGTAGATTAGAATGCGTAAATGTTATCCAAGCGCGCAACAACGCACAGCCATGTGTCTGCTTCACAGATAATTGTGAACATTTCTTTAAAGATGTGTTTGGTATTTCCCCGCCTGCAGGTCACGCTGGAGAGAGGTTTCACTTCTTCAACCTGTCGTCTTTCGGCAGAGAGGAGAGGATGATCAAAGCGGAGTTCCGTTGGTTCAGAAAGAAACAGAAGTTTTACCTGGGAAAGTCACACGGGCCTCATTTCTACAAGGTAAAAGAGTCTTACTGCGTGACATAATTTCATTTGCTCTTGGGTAGATAGGTTATAACATCATGTGTCATGTCTTCATATCTAGTCCAGATTTGAGCTTCCACCAAAGATCTGACAGACAGCTGTTCATTCTGAGAAGCAGTTGGTACAACAGTTAACCTGCTTTGAAAGTTGTAGACAATTGTAGATTTAAAATCTTTAGTTGAGGTTTGGAAGTTGTGATTAGAAAATGTCCTTTAATGGACACATATCAGTGAAGTGACAGTGGTTTATCTTCACTGTCCAGGTGGATCTGTATGAGGTGCTGGACAGCAGAGTGAAGCCCTGGAGAGGAAACCTCATCACATCCAGACTGGTGCCTCTCTACACACAGGGATGGGAAGTCTTCAACGTAACTCAAACGGTAACAGCCTCAATATTTTTGTTTAATTTGAAACAAAAAAAAGTAGTTGAGAAAAAAATATTTCTCAAATAACGTGTTTAACCTGTTGAATTCTTGCTTTGAATGTCAGGTATCTAAGTGGATCCGTAACAGCCAGGAGAATAACGGCATCCTGGTGGTGACCACGCTTCCTTCTGGTAACTGGATGGAGTCTGTGGTGTCCTCATCTAAACAGAACGCAGATCTGACAGATGCAAACTCCTACCTGGTCATATTCTCAGATGATGGGAGGGCAGGAGCATCAAACCAGTCGTACCTGGGTAAGAGAAGATAATATGAAGTATGGGCATGAGAGGGTCAATTATCCATCTTTACTTTGAATTTCATACGCATAAATAAAGGGGCAGCAGTATAAGAAGTAAGAACATTATTTTGCATTGCAATATATCACCATTATATATACATTTATACATATGAGAGAAACTGCAGAAGAGAAACATGAAATTGCAGTAAACAAATACCAAGTTAGGTTTGAGGTCATTTGGTTGGTAAAATGGTTTAACCACCAAAGTCTAATTGCACACTGTAAAATTCCCCACTCAGTTTGTATTTTAGTCACAATATAAATGTCCTCCCAAATATCAATATCACCTTCAAAAATACAAAACATATCATAATGTATACAGCTCCCCATTTTCTATTTCTTATTTTATTTTTTCTCATTTCATTCAAATAGTTCTTTATCTATGTGCATATACCACCCTCAGGATAAATACATTCTCTTGTTACAATTTAGGAAAAGTGTGGAAAGCAATCTATACAATCAATTATATGATTAAGTGTTGGGATTAAATTAAAACCTATAGATTTTATTGATTTCTATTGAATCAGAGTAAAGGATCCTTTTTATTCTGCGTTCATCCATCAAATGTGTTATCATGTCATCACTCGTCAAGATCACTTTGATGTTTTGATAGCTGCTGTGGGAGTGGTTGTAAAAGTTGACTTGACTTGATTTAGTTTGATTTCAGCAAATGAATCTGCGCATTGAATATTTCAGATGCCCCCAAAATTGAAATACTGCCTATTTACAATACTGTTCTCACACAGTGTGATCATCTTCCTCTTTCCATAGGCCAAGCTCAACCTGCAGCAGCAGCAGCAGCACCTGAGCACCATGACCACCGCAGCAGGAGGCGACGTGCAGCTCCAGGCTTGTTACTGCACGGCCAGTCCCAGTCCTGCCAGCGGGTTCCCCTCTTTGTTGACTTTGAGGAGATCGGCTGGTCGGGCTGGATCATCTCTCCCCGGGGATACAACGCGTACCACTGCAAAGGCTCCTGTCCGTTCCCGTTGGGGGGCAGCCTCAGAGCAACCAACCACGCCACGGTGCGCTCCATCATGCACGCACTCAAGCTCTCTAGCGATGATGTGGGAGCGCCCTGCTGTGTGCCTGACAGACTCCAGTCCATCAGCTTGTTATACTTTGATGATGAGGAGAACGTGGTTTTGAAGCAGTACGACGACATGGTGGCATTAAGCTGCGGCTGTCACTGACTGGCTGTGTGCTCTTTCACACTGGGACAATGAGGGATGGGGAGATGATGGTTTGCTTGAGTTGATCAAAACACTGTATTTTTGTGCATATGTTTAAATATTGTATTATTTTGAGAAATAAAACACCTATTCCTCAACTATTAATCAGCGATCCTTTGTTTAGTTTAGTCTCAGGACGCCCGAATACATTCATGATAGACCTGCCTACTGCTGTTGACAACCTACTGTTTGAACCATCCTTAGTTGAGATTACTTTTTGTGCTTAAGCATGGGCTAGTATGGCACTAGTTGCTCAAAGCTGAGAGTGGGAGTTACAGTATTTAAATTCAAACTTTGGGCCCCATGTACCCAGTTCAGGGTTTTCCAAAGGCCCCTGGAACTTGATTTGGATGCCTCGCTCAATTCAGTGACACTGTCCATGGTGCTGAGCCAATCCATGTGATGATCCACTTTAATACACTTTTTTAACTTTGGGGCATCAATATTTGGTTTTGATTACATCTCAATAGGGCTGCAACAAAAATACTATCAATTATCAATTAATATGTTGATTACTATGCATATTTTAACAGATTAATTGTTTGGTCTTTAAAGTATGATAAAGTGGTGAATGATGCCCATCACCGTTGTCTTTAGTCTTTAAATGTATTGGTTTGTCAGACCAACATCCCTAAACCCAAAAATACTGTTTACAAGTGTAGAAGACTATTGCTATTAATTGATTGACTAATACACTGATTAATTGCTGCAGCTTTACATCTCAATATTTTGTTTACATCAACCAACCATCAATCAATATTGTTTTCACAAAGGAAGTGTGATGTCAACAGTCAAGATCCCACCCAGTAGGAGGATGAAAATGTAATATAACTACTGAAGAAGCTATTAAATGTGTGTATTTTATTAAATGAACACCAAAAACCTAAGATGGAACAGCTGCATAGTCAATACGATATGATGAACCTTAAGAACAGTAAAAACAACACACAAGCTGTCACACTTTCTCATCTAATTCGTTCCTGTCTTTACATTATTTGACCAACAGATGGCAGGAGAGAGGTCTAGTTGAGGACTACAAACTTACACTTCAATGGTAACTCTGCATAGAATTATTGTTCACTCATACATTAATGTATCGTCTCCATTAATGAAGGAGTTAATGACACAATAGTATTAAATATTTGTGCATGTCGGCATTCATGTCAGAGTTCATTGCTCATAAAGAGCATTATCCAAAAGAACAATTTCACTCATAACAGTTCTATCATATCAGATATCAGATTTAGTGGTTTTGATTATATTTTGTATACTCTAAAGTATTTTGTACTTTGTTGTGCTTTCAACAATGAGTGGCGTAAAATCAATAACACTAGTGAAACACAAGTCTGTAAAAACAGTTGATTTTTATTGGAATGGATCACAGACACAATACAGCTCTGCTTTATTCTAGTTTAGAAAAATGCCAATGCAGCAAACTTGCAAAACCAATTCTCCTCCATGTCCCCTGCTTTTTAAAAAACATTAACTGCAGTAATGCCAATTCAAGCTTTTAGACAGTATAAATGAACTTTGTGTTGTATCAAACATATTCAACAGGTATAACTGCAATTTCAACTTTAGCATGCAAAATATTTAAAAAATTTTGTTGTGTAGACCGGATCAGTTGAAATCACTAATCAATAAATTAAATATAATTATTTGAGTTAATCTAATGATAACTTTAGTGACTGGAAACTGTCTGGTGGAAAAATAATCTCAAGGCAACAAACCTTGCAGGTAATGAAACAAAAAGCCACAATACCTGAAAAGTAGTAGAGACCCGAATAACACTTTAGTTGAATACAACAAACTCAGCATTTACAATAAATATTCCACATTTACATTCAAGCTTAACCTCTCTCTTTACACTTAAATACATTATGTACATGGATCGCCCATGTACCTTATCTGTCTCATAAATTGCACATTATCTTACACAAATTCTTCAACCCACATTCAAACAACACCATTCAACAGCAACTATCATTCATCCAAAAAATCATTATCTCACAATCAATTCACACTCAAGTCAAATTTCATTCTTCTTCATAAATACAATAAAGGCCTCTTAAGCTTCACAAAGTCCACACGGCTTCTGTGTCTCATGAAAGTTTAAGGCATATAAAGCAAAACAAGGATCAAATATCTGTATTGAGAAAACCCTTAACCTTGAAGGAAAAATCCACCCTTAACCTCTCAACAGTTAAAAAATAAACACCTTTTGGCGATGTACTTTGCATTTCGGGGTCCATTTTGTTACTCCTGGTGTATTTTTCTTATTGTGTATATAACACGGCGAAACATCACACCGAGATCTCCAAACTCCACCGCCAATTCAATGGTGTTAAACAGAGAAAGAAAACCGAAGGCTTCTTTCTGGAGTTGTCATCTTGTACCAACATCAACAGTCAAATAGGGAGAAATCCATCAAAGAAATACTTTTGCTTGCTTAAAATCCTCATGGCAAATGTGAGAAATAACTTGAGTGAAAGCAGATAAGGCAGGTTGAAGATGGGAATACCAAAAAAAAAAACACTTGATCACAAAATAATTCCTGGAATGCAATGAACACCACAATTTGATGATACAAAACAGCATATGAGGAGGGTGGATTTTTCCTTTCAAACCTCATGGCCTATCAGCTTGGACAGTCCAGCTCCTCAGTGCCCATGAACTCCCCTAACATATGGTCATGTTGACCGTAGACAGGCTCTAAATATGGATGTCCCTCCTTATAGTGCATTTGCTTTGACCTCTCTAGGTTTCTATGCTCAAACTCTTCCGGTTCCTTATGAGGAGCTTGGATGGTAGCTTTCTGAGCCATAGGGGACAGAGGTACCGGGACAAAACCATGGTAAACAACCAGAGGTGGGGTCAAGACCTCCATGGGGGATGCCTGAGGAATAGCACCTTCAGGCGGCTTGACTGGCAGCTGCACGTAGCTTCCTGTTTCTGGATCAAAGAAGGTTTTTGTCTTGACCTGGACGGGCATGTCTACAAAGAAGTACTGCCCTGAGTCTGGATCCTGGAGGAGCTTACGTTGGGTCATAGGGAAGGACTGTGTAACAATAGCGTGCTCAATGCTGGACGGGTGTGAAATCTGGCTGGTGTAGCTTGACTGGCGGGAGAGGGTTGAAGGGTGAGGTACTTCGGCGCTGTACGCATCAATACTGTTACTCCTTCTCAATGGGTTGTCTCTGCTTGCCTTGTCTTTGGCTCGGCCTCTCTGCTGAAGCTCATCCATGATGGATTTCTCAATGCGCTGGGTCCTTGGATCAAACTTCTCATTGACTGACATATCGGCACTGAGTCTGCGTTCAGCTTTATCTCCTAAGTACCTATCCATGCTTTGCGATCGGTGGAATGGCCTATCTGACATGGGTCTATCGCCGACATGAGCTTTGTACACAGGCACATTACTGATGACCCTATCAGTGCTGTAATGTCTTTTATCTGACTTATCTCGAATGCGTCTGTCACTGCTACGGCCTTGCCTTTCGGTTGCAACACTGGGTAGTGCTTCTTTGCTCTGGTTATTGCTAGCCATCGAATCGCGGCTCTGTCTCCGAGAGTTGTGGTTCATTTCTGCTCTGTCATGATGGTGCTTTTCACTGTTGTGGCCTCTTCTTTCATGGAGCAGTTGCTCATTTCTGTCATTGCTGATGTTATCATGGTGATTTTCATTCTGATGGTGACTATCTTCCATTTTTTCTCTGTGTTTTCTCTCGCTGCTCTTGCTATTCCTACTGCTGCTGCTACTTTTTTGCTCAGATTTTTCACCCTTGTGTCTATCTGTTCTGTGTTTGCTGCTGCTTTGAGACGACTTGTGGGAGGACTTCTGGGCCTCCTCCTTCTTCATTCTTCTATTTGTCAGCTTAATGGCTTTGAGAACAGCTTTTTCAGATTTGGGTAAGACAGCTGGTGGTTTGGGTAGTCCCATTTGGCTTTCATTACCACTGCAGTTGGATTCTGAGTGTTCGCTGGGAACCTTTGACACTTCACACCCTGCATTCATTCCCATCTCATCAGCTGTGTCAGCTGTGCTGGTTGCTAAACTCTCCACGCCTTCAGATGATGGACTCACTCCAGAAAATCTGTCTTCCTCTTGTGGGACAGACAGGAACTGTTCAGCTTGGGGTTTCTTTAGGTTTTCATGTTGTAGATTTGAAGGTGAGAACAACAGGGGAGGTAAATGGTTAGATAAAATCTCTTTAGGTTTGAAGATTTCTGCTGGAATTAAGGTGCTACCACAAGTGGAAGTTTCATTAGCCAGTGGGAGCTCTTCCTTTACTTTACGTAAGTCCTCCTCTCCCCTCTCTGAACCACTCAGACTCCCTCTTGGTGACCAAGGTTGTACAGTCTTCTTCAACTTAGTACTGAAAGTGTTATCTTTGACTTTAAATAAGGCAGGGATCCCCAAAGTTGGTGAAAAAGTGTTAGAGGGTGGCAATGGTGTCTGATTATCTTCATCAAGAGTTACACTTTGGTCTGTAGTGCTATTTTCTCTTTCTTTGCTGTCATCGTATGGTACGTCTGTCTCTTTTTGAGGAGATGTTATCGGTTGCTTTACAACCTCTGGCTCACCTTCATGCTCACTTAAAGAATAATAGTCCACTTCAGTCCTGTCCGAATCTGGTTTCATGTTTCCTGAGACATTCCACATTTCCTCATCAACTTCCTCCACCTCTCCAATCAAGTTCTCCAGTGAGTGGTAAACATTTGACTCAGTCTCAGTATTTCTGTGCAGTGCACTCTCCACTGAGAAGTAGGAAGATTTTGAGGACAAGCTGGCCTGATCAGGTGGGCTCTGATTGACGTTAATACCATTCACCAGTAGTAAGGGTGATAATATGTTTCTGGGCTTTTCACTGAGAGCTTCTGTATCCACATTTATTTCCTCAGTAAGTCTATTCATTTTGTCAGGTTCATCTTCTGCTACTAGATTCCTAGTTACATTGTCA